TATATCTATGGTTGTGAACGGAGAAACTGCATTCATAATAATTGGGATTGGTATCTAATCTTGTCTCACAATTTTTTTCCACTTGTGATTGTGGACACCCTACAGTCTCAATTTCTTTGTCCGATTTCGATGAAACTTAAATATGTATATGTATATCCCAAAGATCTCATATGAGTTTGATTTAGTGCTATGATACGCTTTACTTTATGGTATAGAGATTTTGCGCCCCCTGTCAAATAGATAATATGTGGCCTCAATGCAGTTTTCAATACTATAATCATAATGCTCAAGCAGTGTCGCACGTTTTTGCTCAGATCTGCAACAATTATTGGCTTCCCAAACCCAGGGCCTCCCCTTTACGAAAATATGGGCAAAGCATTTAATGCATATACCTTGGGTTATGACCCCTGACTTTTACACAGAACGTCAAATATGTACTAAGTTTGTGGATCCTCCCACCATCATTTGTGTCCGGTTCTGCTGAAACTTCTGGCCCATCATTCTATGAATTCTTGGGTTATGGACAAAATGTACGTGGAACAAAGTTTGTGGGCTTTCGTTTTTATATCAATAAATATATATTGAATAATTCGTAAATTGGGTTAGCAAAACACTGTGGAATGCAGGCCTGCTTTTTCACGACTTCATTATCTTTTATTTATGATTAAAATTCAATTGCCGTGCGACATTTCTTTAATGCAATTGATTGCCGCAATAAAAGTGGACTTTTATATATTGAATATATAAAATAATATCGTTAATGAATGTCTTGAGTTCAAAGAATTTAGGCCTAATCTGATACAAGATTTTAATTGTAAGTATTTAACTAAACTTTTTAGAAACCAATACTCTTTCGCAACAAATTAAATTCTTTGGTAAATTCCACAAATTCTGCGCCAAATGATGAAATAACCGTACGTGCAAGATAATATAAATTGACACTATTTAAACAATTACATTCATTAGAAATTGTAACAAAAATGTGAAAACAAAATTGCCGCACGATCATATTTCAATATAATAGGCTGCACTATCATAAAGACGCAAAGAATAGAAAGCGCTTTGCACTATATAGCGCGAGTTGCAGTGTTTACTTTTCACGTCATACAACTTCCAAGATGGCGTACTTATGACGTTGTGGTAAAAGACGTCATTGCTATTCTAGTCTATATTTCTATGGTTCGTACTGCCCAAAGCCCTGTATAGGGAAAGTTACGACAACTCATTTACAGGCGCCATTTTGGGTCCCAACTATGACGCCACAAAAACTATGACGTCATGGCGTCATATAGCTTTACTTAACCAAACGTTTTAATTTATCCTAAAAAAATTGCAAAAGAAACCAATGCAGTTTGGTTTAATGATAATATGTCAGACAAAATCATACTCAAAATCGGCCATGTCAAAATTACATGATTAACATAATTCAATTTGGCGTTCTTCAGGAATTATCGAGAGCGCTATATCGTAATCAGTGTCTTTCAGTGGTGGTAGGATAAATAATTTATTTTTAAACTCCTCAAACACAGAGTGGTTATGCAAGCGAAGTGTGTCGAAAAATCGAATTTGACATACATCAATTTAAAAATGTATTTTTCATTTGATGGCGGGCATTTCTTTCAAAATGGTGGAATTTTCATTAATTGTCATTTCTTTCCGTTGGGTATAACTTGTCAGGCGATACGTTTCAAGTCAGTAGCTTGAAGCGTATATATGGTATTAGTGTCAGTGGCCTGTGGCACGAAGTAACAGTATATTGTCGCATACATAATATATTATGTCAACGCTTGGGCGATATAATATATTATGTCAACGCTTGGAACTAGGATGGAGGTGACTAGGCATGAACAAAAAACAAGATGGCACCGATAACAATTGTAAAAGATTATATTGTTAATATTAGAAAATAGTAGGCCTATAATCAACCGTCACGTGTGAAATTAAAATTATATAAACCATTTCTGGGATACGTGTGTAAACTTTCTTTCAGCTTTCAGATAGGAACAGCTCGAGCCTAACCCTAACCCTAACCCTGCCCTAGCGTCAACACAATATATTATGTCGCCCAAGCGTTGACATAATATATTATGTATGCGACAATATACTGTTACTTCGTGCTACAAGCCACTGACACTAATACCATATATACGCTTCAAGCTACTGACTTGAAACGTGCAGGGTGAACTTGTAATATGTGGTATATTAATCCCGAAATGACATAGTTGCACTTAAATGAATATATTGTTAAAGCGCTTTAAACATCTAGATGCAATAGACAAGGTGTAGAACATTCAAGCTACATTGAAATGTTGGCAATAAAGATCTAATCATAGTTTTTAGTTATACACTGTTAACCACCCGTAGATGTTATAAATCACATAATTTATTCAGCTCGACGCAAGATTTAAAATGGATAGATGCGTTTCGTTTAACTTGCATGTAGATTTATATCATGCATATATAGGACCTTTCGGTTGAATCATATCATAGGAATATCTTATTTGCATAGTTTTACGTATTTGTCGACATTTAGGTGTATTGTTCCATTTATAGCCTATACATTTTCTTGTTTCACTTGACTAAACAAAACTTTGTGTAGGAATGTAGGCTTTTATAGATTGAACAAAAAGCTGATAAATGTTGAGATGTGTGGAACATGCTCGAGGCGATTTGTAAAATATCTCAGGCACGATATACTCTTCAAAAAAAGTAGGGGATATTAAAATGAAATGAAATGGAGTTTAACGTCCTACAGTTCTGCTCCTAACCTGGGCTAATGAAGACGGGCATACGCCATACAGTGTGCTATGAGGGAAATTTTGCCCGGGCAGCGGCACTACGGCCTACTCTTATATCGAATTCCAACTGCCAAGGGATCTTTTACGTGCACGCCAATGTGTACACGGGACCTCGGTTTTTCGTCCCATCCGAACGACTAGACAGCTTTCCTTGTCAGCCCCTCCGTTCTGCACCAGTGACAAGGGAGAACCACGCCGGAAAATCTGGATGAACTTTCTCGGCCAATGCAGGGATCGAACACCCGACCTCCAGGCTAGCGAGCTAGCGTCTTACCCACTTAGCCACGTGATCCCCGGGATATTAAAATGCAAATACCTATGCAGGTTGTAATATGATAAATAGTCATGGACACTTGACATGCTTTGAGAGTATGTTCATAGATGAAGAACTTATCGCCCCAACAGAACCACTGAGCTGCACATGCGACACGCAATAGCGCCATACATGTCAAATTTGACACTTCAAGGAAGGGTTGATGAAAACTGCCGCGTGCTGGTTTATCTATCCATGTTTGCTTTCCTATCGGTTCTTGCATAAGATTTACTGTTTAGCGTATCTTTGCTTTAATGTGTTACGTTTAATTTGATCGAGAGACATGTTCGTCAACGTCAACCGACAACACTGCAAGAATTGACCGTGACACTGCAAGAGGAGTGGGTCAGATTGCCCCAAATCGTGATTGAACGGTTGATTAGGAGCATGCCACGACGAATTGCTGAATGTCTGAGGATTTGGTGGAGCAATTACTCATTATTAAGACCAAAAATCAAAAACGTCCATTTTCACTTTTGACGGTGTATCTATTTGCGAATGAAATGGGGCGGTCAGATAAGCCGCCCATATTAAATGTTTATATTCATGTGTAGGGAATTGGCCTGTTATTAACATATACTGGTTACTTCTAATAAAAACAGCAGTGCATTTCCGCAGTTTTGTATTGTTTCTGAATATCCCCTACTTTTTTTTAAAGAGTATATATTTGATACTAGTTGAGCATCAGAACAACATGATTATTTCATTGGAAATGGGCGCAAATACCCAAAGGTGTCGGACAAACTCTAAAGCAACTGCGTCTCCTTCCTTGGGCCCCTTCAATGTATGTCTACCTGTGGAATAACAAGTACATTATTTGTATCTGTTAAATTTGTGAGGTTTATATATTAGATTAATATTATTATTTACTCATGGGCGGGGAGAGATAACCTCTTAACCCAAACAAATTGCAAAAGACACTAGGAAGTTTCGTAGAGCGATATCTCGTCTCACATGTCACTGATGAAACCTATGCCCGAAACACATGTTACGCTAGACACCTTTTATTTAAAGGAGCTAAATCGCTAATATTTGGGACTTACAAATTGACACAAATGGGTCGCAACGTATATAATAATGTAATATGAATGTAAATAAACTGATTTACATTCAATCGTTTCCGTTTTTACTCTAATTTCAAAGCAGTTATGTTCGGCGAAATACGCTAGAAGTCTCAATCCAATGGCAGTCACTAGCATCTGGTTATTCCAGTCTACACCGATAGTATTTATTGCGCATGCTCTTCAGATAAGAATATGGCGTCACTGTTTGACAAGACTTGTGGAATATGTATAACCTCGTTTTTCGAGTCCATTGTTACAATGTTTTATCTAGTCAATTTAAAGAAATTTCTATTTTCTAAAAATTGATGATACAATAAATGATTGATGACCCAATCCGGAATGGCTCCAGACCAAAAAATAATGGAATTTCAGGTATTTATTTTGTCGGCTAGAAGGCAAAAGGATTTTATCTTCCAAATTACTATATAATTTAAATTTTAATTTTTCACTTTACCCGTCTGCACAAAAAATCTGATTTTTAAAAGCGTATGCAAGTTAAATATATTTAATAGCGCTTTTATCTGGTGTATCTTTCATTTCATTTTCTTATGAATTGGTGTAATACAATATCATTTGAGACCTAAAATTTAATATTGTATTTGAATCTATGTCAGTATTTTATATTTTTTTCATTCTTTCCTTATTTTTGACATTCTAATAGACAGATTAATTACAAGTTTAATCTTATGTAACAGCTGATAGGTGGTACTCACTTGTATGCTCGGAGTACCTATATGAGATAAGATTTAAGCACAACAGATATTGACACCTATTGTTTAAAGTTAGAATGGGTGACCATTAATAATTAGTTTCATTGTTAATTACCTGCGTTGTATAAACTTCTAAATTCCGCACGCCTTTTATCTGTATCAGTCGTAGACTTAAGACATAATATTATGTAAGACGTGATAGCTTGTACAAACGTGTATCAGTCAGAATCCCTGACAGGTGTTAACATTGTTGCTTTAGAGCTTAGAGGTGCGAATTCTAGTAATTAGTTTATGTTGGATTATCTTACTGTCAATCAAACTCAATGTGACTACGAGTTAGCCAATCAGTTTAATTGTTTATGTAACCTGTAAACCAATCAGGATTCAGGCGGCAGAGATGACACTACGTTATTTAAGATTGGTTTTGAGAGTCAAAGGGCAGTTGGGTTTTCTGTGACCTAGGGAGAACGTCTTTAGTTAGATATCTCCTGATCCAACCACCATATGTATATATATTATGCAGTAATAAAACATCTGTTTAATAAAAAGAGTATGTGTTATGTTACATTGGACTATATTATTATAACAATAATGTACGCTTTTTGTTGTATAATAATAATAATCATAGTTTGTTCAGCTATACTTTTCGTTTAAAAAATGTATATTTTATCTCTTTTTCGCGGAATTCTATGAGATATCCATCTACATCCCTGTCATTGGCAGCCAACTTCGACACAACAGTATGATAGGACATAAAATAGAAAGTGAGTAGATACAAATACTTGGGACCCAAGATGGCGTCTTTGTACACTTGACGTCATATTTTCATGACGTCATATGAAATTTCTGGCTTCACAGTTGTCGCAACTTTATCTATATACGGCTTTGGTACTGCCAGTGGAACCTCACTAATAGGGACCTTTCGCATCGGTACGAAAACGTCATCGATTCGTGTGTTCTTGTGACGTCAATCCGTAATGAGTGTTCGGTAGGTATGCAAACGAATATGTTTCTTGTCTCATATGATTAATTGAGGTCCAGTCGCCGCGTGCATGTTGTTGTGCACGTAAAAGATCCTTTGACAGCTGGAATTAGAAATAAGAGAAGGTCATAGCGCCGCTGCCTGGGCAAAATTCACCTCATAAGCACACTACATTGCATATGTACATAAAAATAAGACGTTAAATCATTTTCATTTCATTTTCATTTTCATTTCATTTTCATTTTATTTTAAAGGAGGGGGGGGGGGGGGGGTTAACCTCCACTCGACACAAACTAGCTAATTTCAGGACTAACAAATGGTTCAATTTTATTTCAATAAATCTCTCTTCCCAGGGATGGGGTTTAACGTCCACTCGATACAAACTAGGTCATTTCGGGACGAACACATGGTTCAATTTTATTTCAATAATTCGCTTGCGCGTAGGAGTCTTTTGGCAGTGGGAGGAAACCGGGGGGTGGGGCGGAGAAAACCCACGAGGTTGGACAAGCGACCCCACTCCTTGTCACGTACAACTGGGTAAACGAAACCACTCCAGTTCACTCAATGACAGACCTTATGATACAGCGCGCACCTGCTAGTTTGTCTTTCCTTTTTCCTTTTGCCGTGATTTTGTTGACATTTTGGTATAGATTCGAAAATTTTAATTCTGGCCTCTTTGCCCACCTCCAACTTTTCCCCAAATTTTCGTTGGGCTGAATGCTTTTCACCACAAACAGAGGAACAAATGGTCATATCTTTGCACTAAAATTTGTATGAGGTTGACTGTCAAAATTTTGAGATATACAAACTTGAAGAAGCATACTAAAACATATAACATGTAACCCACCTGATAACTCTGTTATTCTTCTGCCTCAAAATCATGAATATTTACGAAAATGTAAATTCAAACCCTCTTCGTCCATTCTAGATTAAAAAATCAACAGAAAGGCTTGCAAAAGGGGAGAAAGCAGACAGAAAGAGAATTGCTCTAAGTAGACAAACTACAATTTGAATGGTAACTGGCCACAGATCACCAACGATTTCCCCATTGAATTTAATGTTAATTCTCGTCTCTTAGACTGGCTCTAACTTTTTTCCTAAATTTTCGTTGGGTAGAACGCTTTCTACCACAGATGGAGCAACATGTGTCAACCACTTGCTCAAAAGCACGTATGAGGTTCATCATGAGAATTTTGAGATACACAAACTGGAAATAAAGAACAGTAAACATGCATGTTTCGGACACACATTTCAACCTAACTAATCTCTCAACAATCGTATCCTTCCGCCTCAAAATCATGAATATTCACCAAAACCTGGCGGAAAATGTATTTTCAAACCTTCATGTGTCCCAAAATGACCTAGTTTGTGTCGAGTGGAAGTTAAACCCCATTTCTCTCTCTCCCTCTGCTAAAATTTTAAATCGCAAGGAATGTGGATAAAACCATGGAAGTTGAACCTTAATATGATAACATATTACCATTAAAAAAACTAAAATAGTAACCTGCCTGCCTGCTTGCTTGCCCGCCATCCTCTCTCTCTCTCTCTCTCTCTCTCTCTCTCTCTATATATATATATATATATATATAGATATATATCTATATATATATATATATATATATATATATATATATATTATCTAGCTGCTTCAAAGTTGTTTGTTTTTGCGACTGGACCGCTACAGTAGTTGTTTATTTCTTCATTTCACAACAGGTATGATAGCAAAATTATTTTAATCTTAATTTTATTTTAAATTTTATTTTTAAGTTTAAAGATTGGTGGGGTGGTGAGCAGGAAGGTTGTATTGGAAGGTGACCGGAAGGCCTGGCGTTGATTGGATATATAATAATTAATACGTCAGTGATTATCGAGCACACCCAACAGGGTATGCAATGAACGCTGTCATAGGAACAATCATGTCCCTGAAGCAACGACTGCGAGTTTTACAACATCTTGACGTTGCTTGTTTACTTCACATTTCCCGAACTTGACGCGAGTTTTACAACATCTTGACGTTGCTTGTTTACTTCACATTTCCCGAACTTATAGCTACGTTATCTACAGACACGCGAACAGTAGCGTCCAATCAGAAGTTGTGACATCGCGACCTCCACAGAAACCTTGACATTGAACGAACCTTGAACTTTGCAACTCGATTATCACAGGTAGACATGTTAGCTTGAAAGCGCGAGACTTGGTATTCGCGATGACCGAGGAATCTGATAGGCTCACCAGCTGGGCTTGTACCCAATCGAAATTAGTGCCGAAATATGCAGGGTATTACGTGAAGGCCTTGATAAGGTGCACGTACTTAAAGCGAGATCAAGCCTTCTATTGAAGATGAGGAACAATGTAGGTGTTTTTCTATTTTAATGGAGCTGATTCTATATATATTGCCTTTGTATATTTTACTATAAGATTGTGATATTTAAATTGTTTTAATTTATGCATATAAATTTAGGCTAATGAAGACGGACATACGCCATACAGTGTGCTCTGAGGGAAATTTTGCCCGGGCAGCGGCACTATCGCCTACTCTTATATCGAATTCCAACTGCCAAGGGATATTTTACATGCACGCCAATGTGTACACGGGACCTCGGTTTTTCGTCCCATCCGAACGACTAGACAGCTTTCCTTGTCAGCCCCTCCGCCCTGCATCACTGACAAGGGAGAACCACGCCGGAAAATCTGGATGAACTTTTTCGGCCAATGCAGGGATCGAACACCCGACCTCCAGGCTAGCGAGCTAGCGTCTTACCCACTTAGCCACGTGATCCCCACCATTTCATTTGGGAGAACAGTGCACTCTTAAAGAATATAGTGTCACCATGTATGATATCACGCTGTTTAAATGTATTTCCATGTCAGAATGTTTATCAGAGAATTGACTAATATTCCTTCTCTAATATAAGCATGACGTGTTTATTGCAATCTGATTAAAACACAGATCCTATTTCGTTTCGTTATTATAGTTCAAAATTTTTGTTTTACTTGTCTTTACTACACTGGGATCTAGAAGAGTTTGTAATCGTTGACGTGTTCTGAATGGTGTGAAATGAGAGATTAGCCAATGAAACGGTCTGTTACGGCGAACTTTAGGCGTGTGGGAAATCCACTAGTAAAATCAATGCTGATTGGTTAATCAAATGTCTGACGTCATAGGGTCAAAGGCCGCTCGTATGACCTCTGACGCGACCTATCGCTACAACCGGTCAGATCTTCATGTAGTGTAGTCCATCGAAAGTTTAAAAAAAAAAACGAAACGAAATATAGATCTGTATTTTATTCAAATTGTGTTTATTGAAGTTAGTTTGTTGTTCGGTATTCGGTATTCGCCAACAACGAGCCAGTTTGTTGTTCGGTATTCGGCGGTGGGATTTCACATGACTATAAAGGAGGGGTGTTATCAATGTTTAAAATAGGAAAATAAATTTTATTTCTATTTTATAACAGAAAAATGTTCGAGACTTCAACTCAAAGTTGCTGACATTGTCGATCTACCAGACTCATGGTAGCACGCCCACTGTTTCCAATCTGGCATTTCACATAAACGGGATTCATATCTTCAAAGAATAAAAATGTAACCATCTCCATATAAGCACCCTGTAATTCTAATTGTATATCATTGGTTCCTACTGTAAAAGATATTACCCGGTTTCTGGACATTGGCACCCATTTACTGAACTCTCCATAAATAATAACGTTTCTGTCACTGCAAAGGAAAGAAGGATTTAATACGAGAGATCTGCTTAAAATATTTGTCTTTTGAGTCGACTTTATAAAACATGCCTTAGAACTCGGAAAAACATAATCTTCAATTTGCCGTGATTTGACTTCACGGTAATATTGAAAGTATTCAATTTAGCTTGCATGCAAAATTGGAAACGAATCTGCCAATTCATCGCTGTGGTTCCACAAACACGCCGCATGATATCTCGAGAACATTGCTTTGGTCTTAACGTAGATCTGTTTTTTTGATTTTCGACTGGGCTATATTAGGATATCGATAATTTTAGTCCATTTTGTCATGAGTGAACATACAAGAACTTTATGTCAACTTGAATAAAACTGTTTTCTGACAAGATAACGATCGGTGAACAACTATATAGACAATACGATCTATGTTCAACCGGGGCTCTGAGTTTTATTTAATTTTTATTATTTGTTGACATACATTGTGGGGTGGTATTGTGGAAGGCGACCTAGATTTTACTTACGACAATGAGAACTGCATGCTGGTGTGATATAAACAGAAGTTGGATTTAGTACAGGCAGTGGTAAGATTAAGTGGCTGGTCTTCCGTAAATGGAAGAGGAACAATAGCATCAACAGTAGTATGAGAATTTTTCATGATGAACGTCTGGAATATTAAGATGTGTGGGGTTTTTTTTAAATTCTACATTATTAAAATTTTAAAAGGTCGGAATTTCACTTTTTAGGTTCGTAGCAGATTCAAAAGTAAATATTAATATAATTTTAGACTTCAATTACAGCATTGTATCCAATGTCATGGACAAAGAAACCTTCAGACAATAATTTAGGAACATAAATTTAGTCAACAGATTTCTTGTGGGTATATTGGCGAATGAAACAGTGAAACGAAAGACCAATCATAACAAAACCGTAGTATCTCAAAAATTAAAGGAATTATCACCAATTGAGCATACCTTTGCATCACGAACAAATCAAAAACATAATGTACATACAGTACATCGAAATTTCATTTTTATCGACAAATTTCATGAAAATTGATTAATGTCATGAAAACTGATGCGTTCCAGTGACATGATCGCAAGGGGTGAATTTAAAGGCTTAAATCGCCATTTACATCCTGCAAACCAAGCGTGCCGCTGAAATGTCAGTAGTCTAAACGGATCAAACTATACTTAGTCCGAGCCCACGGCCCGGTATATTTCATATGTGCATGTGTTTCGTAATGGCTTTAACAGTATAACCCGTGTGATTTTATGCGAACAATTTTACGTATAACCGTCTCCCGAAACCGTGGGCTCCAGAAAATGGAGATCGGCACAATTTATTGAATTTCATGTGCACCAGGACGATACTTGACCCACCCCAACCAGGCCTTTTGTATGGGATTAAACAAAAGGGACTAATTACTCACTGACAACGACCCAATATGCGACGGAAGCAGACTAAACGACGAATTCATATCAGCTGCTAGAACAATACGGAAATAGTAATCATTGATCATAGTATGTGTTGACCAAACTTCTCCTTCTGGTCCAATACCATCCTGAAACGCTAACTGTAAAAAACACAAAGAACATGGATCGTCATAATAATATAATTAAAAGGCTATTATCTCTTCCCCTTCGAGGTGGCTGGGTGGCAGAATCGTTAGCACAAGCGCTCTGTATCATAAGGTCTGCCATTGAGTCATGTGTTAGTCCCGAAATGACCTAGTTTCTGTCGAGTGGACGTTAAACTCTCTCTCTCTCTCTCTCTCTCTCTCTCTCTCTCTCTCTCTCTCTCTATCTCATAGCACACTGCATGGCGGTTGACTGCTAAATGATAAGGCCAGATCAATTTTTTGTCATGGGTCACGAGATGTAAACAGGACTAGCGCTAATCCCAAACTTAACCCTAACCCTGGACCTAGCCCTAATGCTTACTCTAACCCTAACCCACAATCTCGCCAACAATCACGTGCCCTAACCTTTTTTTACATCTAGGCGACCTTAACAAAAATTGAGCTGGCCTTAACAAATAGATTTAGCCCTGCACGGTGGATGTCCGTCTTCATTAGGTCTATTGTTAAAAAAAAGTTTTTATTTCAGTACACTTGTAATTTTATTATGTAATGTCGTTCGGATGGGACGAAAAAGCGAGGTCCCGTGTACACATTGGCGTGCACTTAAAAGATCCATTGACAGTTAGAATTCGATATAAGAGTAGGCCGTAGTGCCGTTGTCCGGGCAAAATTTCCCTCATAGCACACTGTATGGCGTATGCCCGTCTTGATTAACCCTGTTAAACACCATTTCATTTCATTTACTATGTATCATACCTCTAGAATTCGAGCATCTATAGCCATGGCGGGTTTATTTGGTTTCAATATCAAACCATCAGCATCACACGATCTGAAAACGAAACATGTGAAACGTCGAATACCGAATTTAAAACAGATATAAAATCATGTTGAATAGTAAAATTTTCCAACATAAAGTGTGTAATTCGGTAAAGTAACAATAATTCATCTTTCTATTCCTATAAGCTAGACTATTTTTTTAAGAATATTACATATACATATTCTAACAATATTAGCATGACGAACCGTACATATGACTTATACGAATGGTCTAACCACGCCAACTGACTCAATGATAGACCTTATGATACAACACGAACGCGTTAACCATTCGGTCATCCAAACCCCCTGATAAATCGATATAATAAAGTACTTTGATACCTCGATGTAAAAGAAATACATAGAGAATTTTCTAGCAAGAAGTAAGGCAAAGAATCACATTATCACCAGTGGAAGACAAAGAATCATATTATCACCAGTGGAAGACAAAGAATCACATTATCACCAGTAGAAGAGAAGACCCACCACGAATTTAAAAATATGGTATAATGGATGGTTTATATATAGGGGTATACTTAGTGCTCTTACCTCATTATCAATTCAACATCAGAAAACCCTATTTTGTCAGAAGGGCCAACAGGTCCTGTACTTAAAGTAGCTACCGCTGCTATTAATCCGGGGTTTGGTTCATTCAGATCTGAAAACAAAGGGTGGATAAAATTGCTTTCGGGCGAGATAACGATCGGCCAACTATACAGGCAATACGATCTATTACCTACCGGGGTGCTCCTACAGACTTATAGTCAGTATTTTGTAGACATTCATTGTGGGGTTGAATTGTGGATGACCCCTAGAATTGGAACGGCGGATAAAATTGCTTTCCGGCGAGATAACGATCCACGAACAACTATATAGGCAATACGATATATGTTCTACCGGGGTGCTCAGACAGAGTTATAGCCAATATTTTGTTGACTTTCATTGTGGGGTTGGATTGTGCCCTAGTTTTGGAACGGCCCTCTATTGACAGTTTCTTGGCCCGCTGATGGTTTTCACGGTTCCTAGTTTGTCTATCTGTAGTATATGTTAAATGACTATTACTCACTATAATTGTTCTTTGGTTGGTATGTGGTGGTCCAGAAGTTATCTTTAAAGGGAGCGATACCCAGACTATCAGCAAATATAGATGTGACACCCAGTCTCCAGTTATCATTACCGGGATGATAATCTTCACTGACACGGGCCTGTTAATATTCACATCAATTAAATGTTTAAAACGCTCTTAACAACATTGCATAAAATCCTAAATCCCAGGAATATAAAAGATTTTAACATGATGTAATGTAATAGGCTAGTTATGCATGTTTGAAACTTAGGTTCCGAGGCATTATGATGCTGTACCCTGGAATGGAATACGAAATTAGATTATTGCTGATACTAAATTAAATTGAGTTTATTTGATATCCTGGATATCATTTGGTGGTGATGGTGCTAGCTCAGTGGTTCTCAACTTTTCTCTTGCCAACCGCACACCTTGGAGCACACCGGTAGAGAATCACTGTAGCTAGTCAACCTGGTGGTTCACGGTGGAGATGAGAGACCAATGATATATTATGTGAAATGACTGGTATCTCTAAATTAGCTGAGGAGGAAGTTGGTATGGAAGACTTAGATATTGAGCGACTTGAGATACAACACAGGATGGGGTGAAGCTATAAAAAAAGTACAGAGAGTTGTAATGACGATTGGTATTTTGTATAAAGAAAATGTTGATGTCAAAAGAGAGAGAGAGAGGGGGAGAGAGAGAGAGAGAAATGGGGTTTGACGTCCACTCGACACAAACTATGTCATTTTGGGATTAACATATGGTTCAACTTTATTTCAATAATTCGCATGCGCATTGGGGTCTTTAGCAGTGGGAGGAAACCGGGGGGCCTGGAGAAAACCCACGAGGTTGAACAGGCGATCCTACTCCTTGACACGTACAACCGGAGAATGGAAACAATGACAGTTAACGGAATAACAGACCTTATGATACCGCGCACACGCTAACCATTCGCCCCCCCCCCACCCCGATGTAGAAAGAACATAGGATAACATACCTGGGTTACGACTGGTATTTGTAGTGATGTCAAAACGTCGCGAGATTCAGCCATGCAGTACTGTATTGTCAGTCCATTATTCTGGGCAGCTCGCCCCATCTGTAGAAGCCAATTGTTACCCAAACGAGCACTTGTCAAGGTGGCGTTCAACGTATCAAATTCTCTACCCAACCAATCCTTAAAAATACCAAAATAACAAATGAATGTCGAAAAGAGAAAAAAAATACATATACGGTAATAACAGAACACAGTTTTTATGGGATACAATCACTAGTTTATTCTAAAAGCACGACGTTTCGACAAGTATCCTCTTATCGTTATCAAGCCTGTTAATGTGTTCCCCGATCGCCAAATGCCACTTAAAGAATATATACGGTAATAACCACTTCTGAAATGAAATTTGCTTATCCAAAGAAAAACTTGGATGTTGACCAACCTTGCAAAAGAATCCGTTAAGACTATGACAATGTTGGGGGAAACTCTGAAACAGAAGGGTGCGGGTCGCTGAATAGGGTTCATCCATTCATGCCCCCAATGCGTCACATCCAATTCCCAAAAAACAATATGTTAAAAGGTGTAACCTCTATGGCGTTCTCATGGTATTTCGCCAAAGGGAGCGCGCATGGGACGGAAGGTTGTAGAATGCTGAATATCGTTATGGTTCGTCCTCTCAAAACCCCAATGCTTCTTACCAAATTTGGAAAAGAACACCCGAGCCGCCACAGCGCCTTTATGGTTACGGGTTGATCAGCTACAGACTTTAGCATTTCACTTACTCTCCAAAGGTTTGATAAAACTTGTTTACGTACCAGAAATATCTACCCTATCAATATTATTCTGCGGACTGTTTGGCGATAACCGTCGGAACAACAGGTCAACAGCCTAATACACTGAAATATGGGCGTATAAAAGTGAAAATTGTTTACCTGTTCATATACTGCCAATCCCCATGTTCTAGAATATCTGAACAGATCATCCCAAAATCGCTATAAAAAAAAGAAAAGGAAATATGATCAAAGTATGATAATGGCATCAAAAATATGACCAAACCTAGTAACCGGATAATTGGTATTAAAAATGTGACTGATGGCCACGCCGGTTTAGATAACGATATTCGTGATAATGACGGTGGTGATGCAGAAGATGAAATGAAATGAAATGAAATGGGGTTTAACGTCCTACTGTTCTGCTCCTAAACTGGGCTAATGAAGACGGTGCAGAAGATGAAGATAAAAACTTAATGATGAAGATGAAGTGGTGGTGAAGTTACAGATGGAGATACTGATGATAAAGATGATGGTGACGTTTTAGACACTGTTGTTAGAAAAGATGCAGGTGATGACGAGGGTACTGGTATTGGTGATGAAGATGTTGGTCATGATAAGGATACTGGTATTGGTGATGAAGATTTTGGTGATGACGAGATACTGGTATTGGGGATGAAGATGTTGGTGATAATGAAGAATACTGGTATTGGGGATGAAGATGTTGGTGATGATGAACATACTACTGGTAATGTTTAAAACGCTGGTGATGATACTTGGTCCTAATGAAGATACTGGTGATAATGAAGATATTGATAATAATAAAAAAAAGTCACCTCCTCAGTTGGTATGGCTAAAGGAGACTGTATAATGAAGTCGTAATCTCCTCCATTTTGCTTTGCATATGTTGTTAAATTTGACCTTAAATATACACACAAAAAACTCTTTAATGGCTTTGTTAAATATAAAAAAGGTATTCTAGGCATTAGCTTATAAAATGATTGAATGTTAAGGTTTGTTACGTTTTTATTAAACAAAATGAACTTACCAGTATCTATTATGAGCAACTAATGGCCATTGAGTCTTCTGGTTCAAACCTCTGAGAAAGAGAAAAAAATACATTGTCAGGTACAATCTTTGAAACTAAAATCTAGCTACGTAAAATCAGATATATTATAATTTAATGTAATTGTAGTGAAGACGTTTAACAAAAGGTGTTAAATTCTAAAACTCCTCAATTGCTTATAGAGTTTGAGAGAGAGAGAGAGGGGGGGTGTAACGTCCACTCGACACAAACTAGGTCATTTCGGGACTAACATATGGTTTTAATTTTATTTCAATAATTCGCTTGCGCGTAGGGGTCTTTAGCAGTGGGAGGAAACCGGAGGACCCAGAGAAAACCCACGAGGATGGACAGGCGACCCTACTCCTTGTCACGCACAACCGGGGATTCGAAACCACGCCAGTTGACTCAATGACAGACTTTATGATACAGCGCGCGCACGCTAACCATTCAGCCATCCAACCCCCCCCCCCCTCTGTGACGTACAGCCCCGGGAAATAGATAGAGTTGATATATTGCACTAATAATAGGGTTTGATATACATATAAAACTCACTCTAGTCCGTGTGGGAATACTTCTGGTAATGCAACCCATGTTATAACAGCTTTGGTAGTATTGTCTTTAGGGTAAAACCATGAATCTAGTTGAGCATACCTGTAAATTATGTATGCGTGATTAATCTGGCAAGGAGTGAAGCTGACAAGGAGTTACTATATAAGCAGTTATCTGGATTAGTCGAGACATTCCTCGGAAATGAAATGGAGTTTAATCTCCTACTGTTCGTCTCCGACTGGGCTAATGAAAGCGGGCAAACGTTATACAGTGTACTATGAGGACATTTTGCCCGGACAGCGGCGTCACAGCCTACTCTTATCGAATTCCAACTGCCAAGGGATCTTTCAAGTGCACGCCAATGTGTACACGGGACACGGTTTTTCGTCCCATCCCAAAGACTAGACAGATGGCATGTCAGGCCTGCGCCACTGACAAGGGGAACCCACCGGGAGTGAACCCGCGACCTACAGGCTAGCGAGCCACCGTCTGACATTCCTTGGTTTAAGCCAGGAGGATTCATCCGGTAAAGACGAATGGAAAAAGGTTTTCTTTGAGCAAAACGGGTTCTACTGGAACGATACATCCAATGAAAGAAGCGTAACCAAATATAACGAAAGTCTTCTAGGTGTAAGTCTGATAGGCAGTTACACTGTATTTAAACAAACGTTATTCAAGAGCTAAATCTGCCTATTGCAGGTCTTTCTTTAGGTCTGAAGTGTTATATAAACTATTAATTAGACATTTAGTAACAAAACAAGACCATAATTAACTCTCGATGCCATCTTATATGTCCGATTTTCAATGGATTTGAATTCCATCTGCTGTTCAACGCCCGTTGATGATTAAACGCAGAAATCGATAATCGAGACTTATCGTGACAGAGGTGACAATGAAAATCGAGGCTAAAAAGATTTTAAAAAAAAGTTTTCTCGGCTCAGAGTGAATCAATTTGACTGAAATTTTCAGCATATTCCCTTTACATCATCTAGATTTTAACTATTATAGTGAGAACTGCCAACTCTTTATCTAATCTCCTATAATGTATCTTTAATTAACGTACCAAATAACAAGTTTAAGGATTTGTACTCATATGAACCCTTGCTGCTTGTTATTAACAAACTAGCCAATCAAATTCAACGCCCATTAATATGAAATAACAAATAATCCAATTAAATTCAACGCCCATAAGCCAATTAAATTCAACGCCCATAAATATGAAATACCAAATAAGTGTAAAGTTAAAAAAAATATAAGCATTACCAACCTATACGGTATTCCCTGTATTTTACCATATTTCTGTACATCAATCAATGTCTGTTCATAATTCATAGTCGTATTTTCTGTTCGGTAGTAGTAATACGCTCCTATATACAAACGTACAAGTATTATATTTGTTTGAGTTGCCCATATTATTTAGTACATTTCATAATGATAGGATGTTTAGAAGAAGTCAGCACACTAGTATTATACCGGAAACTATTCTCTATGAGAACACTGTTTTGGCAGGCTAAATCTATTTGTTAAGGACAGCTCAAGTTTTGTCAAGGTCGCTGAGTTTCTCTGGGTTTTATTCCTGATTGTTTTCAAATTTGAGTGAAGTCTGTGTCACTACAGGCCGGGACTGTACAGCGCAGTGGACGCTTACGGCTATCCCCGGATCCATTCACTTTATTTGAATTGTACGTTTGTTTGTGATTTCTGCGTAATTATGTCTTGTTCGTATATTTGTTTTTGTGTAAGTTATGCTTTAAATTTTTATATGGCGCGAATGTGTAAAACGTCATCAGTAACAGTATTTTGATGTGTGCGAACAACAAATTAATCATATAACTAGCATTATTGTTCGTTGAACAACTGTCTGAAGCATTGTAAATTTTAAACGGATTTCTTCGATTGTGAACAAACTACTTAATTTTGGTTATTATAATAGCAGGTTAGTTTATAATAACCAAAATTAAATAGTTTGTTCATAATCGAAGAAATCCGTTTAAAATTTACAATGCTTCAGACAGTAGTATTATTTCTTACCATTGTCTGTATAATACCCAAGATAATTGATGGTAAAATCACTGTCTCGATAGGCACTTGTTTTACCATAAAATTCTCTCATTAATCCTCCCCAATCAGCATACGCCTATAGAGAGATTCAAATGGACAAAAAATATTACGTTTACTCCAAACAAACAACTAAAATAAAAATCATTTAATTCTTTCATATGACTTAAATAATATATTGAGTAAATATAATAAAGCTTTTCGTAATTTTATGAAAAGCCAGTTGAAATAGATTTGAAAACATAATATTCATTTTTAAGTCTGAACTAAAATGTACAAGTTTTTTTTTTATTACAGGTAATAAACTTACCTGATTTATACCCATAGAACCAAAGAATACAATATACTCAGTTGAAAATAGGGCGGGAACTGTATCGACCTCTCCCAGCAGACCCCAACTTATGGAGTTTTCACTGCCACTATAATGTAGCGATGACGACATGAACTCACTGAAAGGGGAGATAATTACAGCATTTCCGGTTTTATCTAACAATGCAAATGGTCCACTGGCTAATCCGGACACAATATTTAGTTTTCCGGGTTGGAATCTGAAAAACAAAAATGTGAAAAAAGACAATAATCAATAAAAAAAAAAATATATAAAATACACGCAACGTGTGGAAATACAATCTGATAAAATATACAGACCTATATTTCGTTTCGTTTCGTATGTTTTTTATACTTTCGATGGCCTACACTACATGAAGATCTGACCGGTTGTACTATAAGATCGTGTCAGGTGTCGTACGAGCGGCTTTTAACCCTATGACGTCAGACATTGATTAATCAATCAGCGTTGACGTTTCTAGTGGTTTAACAACAGTTCCGTACATGACACGCCAAGAAGTCGCCGTAACAGACCGTTTCGTTGGCTTATCCCTCACTTCAACCAGAACGCCGGGAATATCACAACTCTTCCAGATCCTAGTGTAGTGAAGACAAGTAAAACGAATTTTTGGACTATAAAAAACGAAACAAAATAGAATCTGTGTTTTAATCAGACTGGTGGAATACGTACACATAGTCCTTCGGATGAGCCGAAAAATCGAGGTCCCGTGTACACATTGGCGTGCAAGCTAAATAACTGTTGACAGTTGAAATTCGATATAAGAGTAGGCCTCAGTAAGTCATTTTACTGATCAACTAATTCCATATACTATTTACTAGGCCTATGGTTTCATACACCCTCTGTTTACTAGGTTTTTACTTATGGTTTCATACACCCTCTGTTTACTAGGTTTTTACTTATGGTTTCATACACACCATGTTTAATCCTACCATGATCAAACAGTTGTTGAAGAAAGAAAATATCATCTGTCAAATTGTTTGCTTTCTAAACAGATGAAAGGGGGTTGGGTGGCCAAATGGTTAACGCGTGTGCGTTTGATTACTAGGTCTGTCATTGAGTCAAGTGGCGTGGTTTCGAATCCCCGTTTGTACGTGACAAGGAGTAGGATCGCTTGTCCAGCCTCGGGGGTTTATTCTAGGTCCTCCTGTTTCCTCCCACTACTAAAGACCCCTACGCGTTAGCGAATTATTGAAATATAATTGAACCATGTATTAGTCAAGAAATTACCTAATTTGTGTCGAGTGGACGTTACCCCCCCCCCCTCTCTCTCCCTCTCTCTCTCTCTCTCTCTCTCACTCTTAAACAAATGATTGGATACCGGATACTTACGTGCCCAGTCTGTAATCCGATGCAAACTGTCCACCTCCATAGGAAAAATAGCCGAGTGGTTCTGCAGTTGAGACAGCGACTTGGAATGCCGGGAAATGAGATATGACAGAACCGGGGTCATGAACTGAACATCCCGTAGTATCATTATAAAATGTCTAAAATAAATAAAAATTAATAGAAAGAAAGAAACATACATCTATGACCATCAGCTAATCTGTTTTCCACAGAGCTTCAAACTCATTTAGCAGCATATTGTGAATATTTGTCAGAATAAATGTTAATTTTTGTATTTTTATTATAAATAGTACATAGTTTGACAATGTGTACAAATTAGAACTGCTCAAAAACTGTGAAACATAACTATTTATGTTTAAACTGCATTTCCTCCATTTTTTACTTTTCTACAGAATGTGTCATTTTCTTCAACAAAATGTTAAATATCTCCAAAGGTTCTCATCCGATTTTTTTTTCAATTTACAGATTATTATGATCCCCTGTGAAGGGTTTTCCTGTGTCGTCACACATATATTTACATCATGCCAAGCCATATATTAATCAAACGATACATGTTATACAGAGAGAGAGAGAGAGAGAGAGAGAGAGATGGGGTTTAACGTCCACTCGACACAAACTAGGTCATTTTGGGACTAACGTATGGTTCAATTTGATTTCAGTAATTCGCTTGCGCGTAGGGGTCTTTAGCAGTGGGAGGAAACCGGAGGACCCGGGGAAAACCCACGAAGTTGGACAGGCGACCCTACTCCTTGTCACATACAACCGGGGATTCGAAACCACGGTTTTCCTGGAGTAGGGCAAAGATTGATGAGTAGGGCATACAATGATGAGTAGAACATACACTGATATGTAGAGCATACATTGATGAGTAGGGAAGACATGGAGTAGGGTAGACATTGAGTAGGGCATACATTGATATGTAGGGCATACATTGATATGTAGAGCATACATTGATGAGTAGGGTAGACATTGAGTAGAGCATACATTGATATGTAGAGCATACATTGATGAGTAGGGTAGACATTGAGTAGAGCATACATTGATATGTAGGGCATACATTGATGAGTAGAGCATACAATGATGAGTAGGGCTTACACTCAATATCGCATACATTGATGAGCAGGGCATACATTTGTTGTCATACCAATTTCAAAGAATTTTGAACTAGTAGTATAGAAATATAGATGACGAAACACGAAAATAAGATACAATTTTAATTGGATTGGTTAAATTTTCCAATATTTGTCCTTTTTATTTATTCTTTGTACATCACAGCAATTACATGTTAAATCATGGCTATATATAGTAATTTAAGTCGAAATTCTGAATTTTTAAGGCAAAGAATAAAACATGACAGTTACCTGCTTAAAGATAACAAAATTTTGTGATGTGTACTGTTTAAAAGTAGCGGAGACGATTGTATTAAGCTCGATGCTAAACAACCATTCTGTACTCGTGTATGACCCTAGTCGATCTATGTCATTATCAAGCCGAACACCCACGTTCTTCAATGTTCCATCACCAGTAGAGAAGGTTTTACCAAAAGCATTGAACACAATCGGTGCACTGTTCAGCCATGTTGAAGTGTCGCTGATACCAATTTGATAACTGAACGATGATTGGTTTAATCTCAGGTTAAGATACCGGGGTGGTGTCGAACTCTCAAACTTTAGAGGTCCTGAAAGTCGGGAATAATAATTAATATAATGATGAATCATGAATAAATTTTATAGGGTTTTATGGCAGCCGAGGCCTGGACCATGTACGTGGACGTTTCATATTCAGATTTGCTTAATTACATAATATCGACTAGAGAGAGAGAGAGAGGGAAATGGGGTTTAACGTCCACTCGACACAAACTAGGTCATTTCGGGACTAACACATGGTTCAATTTTATTTCAATAATTCGCTTGCGCGTAGGGGTCTTTAGCAGTGGGAGAAAACCGGAGGACGCAGAGAAAACCCACGAGGTTGGACAGGCGACCTTACTCCTTGTCACGTACAACCAGGGAATCGAAACCCCGCCAGTTGACTCAATGACAGACCGTATGATACAGCACAGCGCACACGTGCTCACCATTCGCCCCCCCCCCCCTAATATAGTACAAATTTTACCTTTTAAATATAAACGATCTGGTTAAATTGTGTGCCTTAAATATTTAATTAAATTTGTTTTTCCTGCGTGGTTTCCCCTTGTCAGTGGTGCAGGGCGGAGGGCATGAGAGGTCCCGTGTATACATTGGCATGCACGTAAAAGATCCCTTGACAGTTGGAATTCGATATAAGAGTAGGTCGTAGCACCGCTGTCAAGCAAAATTTCCCTCATAACACACTGTATGGCGTATGCCCGTCTTCACTAGCACAGTCGAAGCAGAACAGTAGGACGTTAAACCCCATTTCATACCATTTTCACTTCTTAAATTTTTGGCCCTGCCATTACCTAATGTTAGACAAAATTTCCATTTCACACTATAATTGAGAGAGAGATGGGGTTTAACGTCCAATCGACACACATTAGGTCATTACGGGACTAACATATGGTTTGATTTTATTTCAATGATTCGCTTGCGCGTAGAGGTCTTTAGCAGTGGGAGGAAACCGGAGAAAACCCACGAGGTTGGATAGGCGACCCTACTCCTTGTCACGTACAGCCAGGTAATCGAAACCACGCCAGTTGACTCAATGACAGACTTTATGATACAGCGCGCTCACGCTAACCATTTAGCCCCCCCCCCCCCACACACACACACACTATAATTGAAACAGAATCTATCTTTTATATCCAAACAAAATACATCTTGGTGATTACAATAATATGTGCAACAAAATGTTTTTAAAGAATTTGATGTACTACTTTTTTCTTAATAAACACGGGGTCGATTTGATATAAATGTGTGTAAAGATAAGATAAAATTTTGAGATCTAGATTACAATAAATATATATAGCTGTTGGGATACGTTAGTGATTTAATCAATTATGGGATGAAAATATTATTCTTATGAAAATATTATTCTTTTGTAAGAATAGTATGATTTATTGCTAGTATAATAGTGCCTTTCCCAAGAAAAATTGCATATTTCCAGAGAGAGAGAGTGAGAGAGAGAGAAATGGGGTTTAACGTCCACTCGACACAAACTGGGTCATTTTGGGACTAACATATGGTTCAATTTTATTTCAGTAATTCGCTTGCGCGTAGGAGAAAACCCACGAGGTTGGACAGGTGATCCTACTCCTTGTCAGGTACAACCGGGGAATCGAAACCCCGCCAGTTGACTCAATGACAGGCCTTATTATACAGCGCGCACGTGCTAACCATCGTCCATCCAACCCCCTTTGGCTATAGAGAATGACATACTGGCAACCTAGAGAATGTAAAT